AAAGAAAGAAAGAAAGAAAGAAAGAAAGAAAGAAAGAAAGAAAGAAAAAGAAGTGGGGGTGGGGAGGGAGGAAGGAAGGAAGGGAAAAGGAAACCACACAGGTTGTGTAACACTTTCATATGCCCAACTAATGCAAAGGACCGAGCCAATGCAGGCCTTCAAGGGCTCATAAAGCATGTTTTCTCATTGTTTATTCAGATAGTCTTTTCCTTTTCTGTTGGATGATGACACATTAAAGGTTGAAGGTAGACTATCTGGTTTTTCTTTTGAATCTCTCTCACTTTTTGACTTACTACTAGGATAGCAATCTGATTTAAGATTCACCAAATTGACAAAGCCCTAGGATTATGGGCAGTGGTATGCAGATAAATCTTTAATAATTGTACAGAAAATAAAGCCCTGCTTTGTAACATTGATCAATTTCCATGGTGTAAATAATTTCACTATGGTTGCTTTCAAGCTACCAGAACAATATCAGTGAATATGTAATTGGGAAGAGATGCACCAAGTTGACTTTCACAAATTGGTACATTGCGGCTCCAGCCTGCCACTACATAGGGGACTTTAAATTATTTTTCCTGAAACTTTCATAATTTGGACCTTGAAGATATATTATTTTTGTAATAAGAAAAGGAACACTCAAGTATAAGTTATTTGAAAAGCTGACCCCTACTGAAGAAATTATTTGTAATAAAAAATGTCTCCCAAAATGACATATATCCCATGATTTTTAAATTTTTTTTTAGTGTTTATTTATTTTTGAGACAGAGACAGAGCGTGAGTGGGGGAGGGGCAGAGAGAGAGAGAGGGAGACACAGAATCCTAAGCAGGCTCCAGGCTCTGAGCTGTCAGCAGAGAGCCTGACATGGGGCTCGAACTCATGAACCTCAAGATCATGACCTGAGCCCATGTCAGATGCTTAATTGACTGAACCACCCAGGTGTCCCTATCCCACAATGTTTAATACTCTTTAAAATGTTTCCAAGCTCAGGATGTCACTGGAAGCTTGTAAAAATTCTGTAAAGTAAATAGAATAGGTGCACATACTACCACTTGAGAAGGGAGGAATATGAAGACGAAGGGGGTTGCAGTAATATATAGGACTGGCCCTAAAATTCTAGTTTTCTAACTATTAATTTAGTGATTTTTCCTGTTTTATGCAGATAATAAAAAGAAAAATTACAACTGGAATTGGTGAATTCTAACTGCTTTCACAGTTTTTCTCTCAACAATGATGTTTACTTTCATTCACTGCTTTGGACAAAAAGGATTATCTACAGCTATCTCTTTAAGAGACTTCTGACTTCTCAAAACAGTTTATGCCTAAATAGTGCTATGTTACCAGTGCTGGACTCCGGAATGATTACAAAAACCACTACCCCTGTCTAGCTCCTGTGGATCTGGTAAGTAAGAGTAGAGTCTGATTATATTTCCCATCCCATCTTTCCCTTTGTTTAATTCTTTTGTTGGTTCAATGTTGATAGAGTTCTCGGTAACTCATTTCTGTAAATAATCCTCCTATTCTCGGGCTTAAGGAACTTAAGCGTCCAGTTTCAGTGTATCCAAGACCACTCCAAAACACTGTGCCATGTGAAAATCAGTAGTTTAGGATGGTGGAAATAGAACAGATCTGGGAGTCACGAATACCTTTATTTGAACACTGCTTCAGATACTTACTGTGTGACATTCAGCAAGTCACTCAGTCTCTCTGATTGTTTCCTCTTCTGAAAATAATAACACCTACCTTATAGGAAACTTGAGAAAACTAAATAAGATGGTATTGATTAAGTGCTTATCAAAATACCTGGCATATTGTAAATATTTACAAATGGTAAAAGTAGTAGCAGTAATAATAGCAATGATAATATCATTAAATGCATATATATATAATTACATATTTTATACACAACTGGTAGCAGTAATAATAATAACAATAAAATAGTAATAACAATAACAATAATAATACTATTATATATGTATATAATTATAATTATTATTATTATTACTAAAACACTTAACTGAACACCTGATATTTTTCTAATAGATATTCAATCAAGATTAGTTTTTAGGTAAGTAGTCACTAAAATAGCAAATAGTAAAAGAGAATGATGTTTATCTCAAACCCAAAACACAAGTTTCTATCAGGAACCATTTAAATGCTTTTATATTTTGTCTGTGTGTATTAGTATTCATTCACTCATTTCCTTGGCTATTTTTATTGCCCTTTTACTGACAAGAAAAATCTCAGCTGAGGTGAATGTACCACTGCTTCCATGGAGGAGATGAGGCTTAAAAAATAATTTACTGGGGTGCCTGGGTAGCTGAGTTGGTTGAGTGTTAGTTAGACTCTTAGTTTGGGCTCAGGTCGTGATCTCGCAGTCTGTGAGACTGAGCACCGCATCTGATACAGAGAGTGGAGCCTACTTGGGATTTTATCCCTCCCTCTCTCTCTACTCCTCCCCTGCTTATGCATACACACACACACACCACACACACACACACACACACTCCACTCTCTCTCTCAAAATAAATTAACTTAAAAAATGAATTTACTATTCATCAAGTCCATGATAAATGTATTGTTGAATATCTGTCTATCTGTCTATCATCATCATCATCATCATCATCATCATCATCATCATCTATCATCTATCTATCTTCCATCTTCATCACCATCATCATCTATCTAACCTATCTATTCATCTGTTGGCTAAAACCCTCTCCATGCTAACTGTACTCTTAGAGATTTATATGGTTGATTCACTGATCAACTAAAACTAACTTATTAAAATCCCTAATTTTATAGAATTGCCTTTTGCTTCCTACTTCCATGAGATCAGCAACCAGTCTTGGTCAGGAAGTGTTATTTTAAACATGAATACCAAGAAAGCAAAGCAAGAATGCATTTCTATTCCATAAGCATATCAAGGGTTATGGTTTTCCTTGAATTTGGAAATTTTGTCTGAATTCAATCAT